CGTCGTCGTTTATAGAACAAACTGTTTGGTAAACAATGTTAACACTTCGTCGTCGTTTATAGAACAAACTGTCTGGTAAACAAAAACATTGTTTACCAAACAGTTTGTTCTATAAACGACGACGAAGTGTTAACATTGTTTACCAAAAAGTTTGTTCAATAAATGACGACGAAGTGTTAACATTGTTTACCATACAGTTTGTTCTACAAATGACGACGAAGTGTTAACATTGTTTACCAAAAAGTTTGTTCTATAAATGACGACTAAGTGTTAACATTGTTTACCAAACAGTTTGTTCTATAAATGACGACGAAGTGTTAACATTGTTTACCATACAGTTTGTTCTACAAATGACGACGAAGTGTTAACATTGTTTACCAAAAAGTTTGTTCTATAAATGACGACTAAGTGTTAACATTGTTTACCAAACAGTTTGTTCTATAATTGACGACGAAGTGTTAACATTGTTTACCATACAGTTTGTTCTATAAATGACCATGAAGTGTTAACATTGTTTACCAAAAAGTTTGTTCTATAAACGACGACGAAGTTTTAACATTGTTTACCATACAGTTTATTCTATAAACGACGACGAAGTGTTAACATTGTTTACTATACACTTTGTTCTATAAATGACGACTAAGTGTTAACATTGTTTACCATACAGTTTGTTCTATAAACGACGACGAAGTGTTAACATTGTTTACCAGACAGTTTGTTCTATAAACGACAACTAAGTGTTAACATTGTTTACCAGACAGTTTGTTCTATAAATGACGACGAAGTTTTAACATTGTTTACCAAACAGTTTGTTCTATAAATGACGACGAAGTGTTAACATTGTTTACCAAAAACTTTGTTCTATAAATGACGACTAAGTGTTAACATTGTTTAGACAGATAGTTTGTTCTATAAATGACGACGAAGTGTTAACATTGTTTACCAAAAACTTTGTTCTATAAATGACGACTAAGTGTTAACATTGTTTACCATACACTTTGTTCTATAAACGACGACGAAGTGTTAACATTGTTTACTATACAGTTTGTCCTATAAATGACGACGAAGTGTTAACATTGTTTACCATACACTTTGTTCTATAAATGAAGACGAAGTGTTAACATTGTTTACCAGACAGTTTGTTCTATAAACGACGACGAAGTGTTAACAGAAGTGTTAACATTGTTTACCAAACAGTTTGTTCTATAATTGACGACGAAGTGTTAACATTGTTTACTATACAGTTTGTTCTATAAATGACCACGAAGTGTTAACATTGTTTACCATACAGTTTGTTCTATAATTGACCATGAAGTGTTATGGTAAACAATTTTAACACTTCATGGTCATTTATAGAACAAACTTTTTGGTAAACAATGTTAACACTAGGGCTAGACCAGCATATATTACATATGTAGGCAACAGCGTTCTGTTTTTTCATTAAAAGAAAACCATAATATTAAAATCTGACATAAATGTAATAATACATTTCTGGAAACTTCACAAATCTTGTGATTTGAAACACGTGATAATTCCACAGAAGACCACCTTTATGTGTGTGTTTTTTGTAAAGACTTACAGATAGATATTGTACAACAAGAACTACACCCGTTTCACACTTCTGGAAACTTCTCGTACTTCCTTATTGACCAACAAACGTACTGATTTTTCTCTTTTATTTTGTATTTTTACTTGCTGTTTTTTTCAAAAACTACTTTGTTTAAGTTAAATATATTGAAATCTAACAACAATGCTATACATTTCCGCCTGGATACATTTGAATGTAATTTGACTAAGTATGGAAATATATCCAACCTATCTGTTCAATATAAAACCCTTACTAGTCCACTCATCTCCCTAACAGATTGTTAGAAATGTTACTAACTTACAGGAAGATCTTGGCTACAAGATAGCCTTTCTTCATGATGATTTCATTTCAATTCAACACTTTCAATTTCTGAAAAGTGTCGCACACAATCGATATCCCACATTCATTTATTCTTAACTATCTTTATCATATTAATGATAATATTATTCAGTTCTGTTTTAAGCCAATGGAGGGCACTACCCTACAAACATACTGCCATTTCGAGTGAGCGGTTTGAGTAATTACAAAGTGATTATGAACATCCGAAAATAAAACGACATAGAAGAAAAGAACTTTCTTCTTCCTGGTGAATACTGTTCGTAGATATATTTTCTTACACGTTTCACAAATTTATAGAAAATTTGACAGTGGTTGTAATATGATATTTCCATAGTTACAAGAGCTGTATATTTTTATGTAGGGACGAGCAGGAACATATCATGTCTACCCTCACATACCTGCAGCAGTTGGAGAATGAAACCGATATTCCTGCTATCCAATACAAAGACTTACCGGTCAAGTTGCTAGATTCGGTCTATGGATTTCTGTAGAAACTAGCGCTTGGAAACCATTGTCCTTCTAAACTAGATAGAATATGGAAAGCACAGCGGAGGAAGGGTGAGCTTTGGAGCTTACAGCCTTACGAGTCAGGTTTTTCCGATAGAAACTGTGCTGTTGTCTTCAGATATAACATGACTGAACGCGGCGACATAGACTGTAACTATTTTGTAAGGCTACAAATCGTACTCAACCTCTGTAAAACATATAATATTTCAATTAATCACAATTTTTAACCACAAAAATAACAGTTTTTTATTACATTTAATATTTGAAAACAGAGATTTATAATTTCCAAGACGAGAATGTTCCTTGTAATTAATGGTATTAGAAGACAAAGGAATGTAGATCAACTTGGGGCACTGGGACCATTCAGAAGGAGACCTGCAAAAGATCGTCTCTCAGCCGTGGTAAGCAAACTGTAAGCGTCTTGTAACAGGTGAGTATTCACGAAAAGCTGTCCAATTGCCCCAGGCAATAGTAACCAGCATAATCAAGAAGGATCTCGGTCTAAAAAAAAGTGACACAAGTGTACATAAAATGCTTCCACACACAAAATTTACATAACGATGAAATACACACATGAACGTGTTATCAAAAATATAGTGCAGTGAGGGAAAATTAATACATTGAAAAAAAAAAACTGAGTTTCTTTTAATGTATGCTACAAATATTTGCCGTGTGATGGGTTTTAAACGGTTCTAATTTTTTCACAGCTTTAGTTATTAATGCAATACATTTCCGCGTCTGAAATATATTTTAATATTGATTTTCTTACATAGTAAGCTAAATACATACATTTCTTATAATATTTGGTCTGAAAAGAATATTACAAAAGTGCTTAGCCCCCCAATGGCACAGCGGTATGTTTGTGGACTTACAACGCTAAAAACCGGGTTTCGATACCCGTGGTGGGGAGAGCAAAGATAGCCCATTGTGTAGCTTTGTGCATAACTTCAATTCAAACAAGCAAAAGTGCTTACCTTATTAGGATCTACAGAAATGGATTCTGGAGTCTTTGGCGCCATCTTTTGAGTATTTTCTGAACTACTTTTGAAGAAATGACGTTTGTGGATTGGATTATCACGAAAATACAGTGATATGTATACATTTCTTGCATAAAGGCTTCAAAGTTTATCTGTCCATCCAAAAAAATATAATTACTAAACGACGTATCCCTCAAGGTTCAAATAATTAAGTTTCAAGTTCATAGAAATACTTTTCACGTAGTCTTTTTAGTTTAATCTGGCCTGTAAGTGACAGATGCCAGAAATGTCATAGAAGTTATTCAAAGCGAATGTGATACAAGTTAACTATCTATTTACTAATAGTGAAAAGATTTAATGCATAAAGTAGAACAATGCTAATATCTGTCCTGTTTTTGGTTGTTATTCAGGAGGTCCAGTACAATGATACTTCAAAGTTATCCCATCAATACTGTACATGCATCATAGATATTTAAATTGTCCCACCAATCCTGTACATTCATCATAGATATTTAAATTATCCCACCAATCCTGTAAATGCACCATAAATATCTAAATTATCCCACCAATCCTGTACATGCATCATTAATATTTAAATGATTCCACCAATCAAGTAAGTGCGTCACAAGCATTTAACTTATCCCACCAATCCTGTACATGCATCATAAATATTTAAATTGTCCCACCAATCCTGTACATTCATCATAGATATTTAAATTATCCCACCAATCCTATACATGCATCATAAATATTTAAAATATCCCACCAATCAAGTAAGTGCGTCACAGGCATTTAAATTATCCCACCAATCCTGTACATGCATCATTAATATTTAAATGATCCACCAATCAAGTAAGTGCGTCACAAGCATTTAAGTTATCCCACCAATCCTGTACATGCATCATAAATATTTAAATTATCCCACCAATCAAGTAAGTGCGTCACAGGCATTTAAATTATCCCACCAATCCTGTAAATGTATAAACACTGACAAAAG